CCTCCACCCAGAGGGGCTCCACGGGGCGCTGACAGCGTTCATACAGCGCCAGGCCATGGGAGAAGTCGATGACCTCGTCCTCCGTACCGTGGATCACCAGTACCGGTGACGTTACCTTCGAAATCTTGTCGATGCTTTCGAGAAAGAAGATAAGAAAACAGACATTTAGGAGGGTTTGCGGAATACAGACATAAAGACAAACAGAGGGGTTGAGTTACAATAAAATTAAAAAATAAAAAATATAAATATCACAATAATGCTGAAAATTCCAAGATGGAGTAGTTTTCCAACTTCCACAGAGGGAGCTATTGAGAATATTTTTAAGCACCTTGACTCACAAAGAAGTGAAACAGTCCTGAATAGATTTGACACATCTAAATTTCCATATTTGCAAGCTCGTGTGTTTCTTCCTGATTCCTCATTCATACAGTGCTGTTCTAAAATTCACGTGTACTCTGTTATTTGACTATCTGTGCAGGGAGGCTGGGCACCTTTCTGCAGGTGTTCATGATGCATTTAGCCAGGCTGTCACACATTGCACTCACTTTGGGAAGGCGTCAAAGCAGTAGGTCTTCTTGGTGTCGGGGAAGGCCACTCTCATGCCAGACGTGAGCGGGGAGTGGAGGATGACTGCAGCGCTCTCGTAGCGGGAGGCCAGGTCCACGGAGGGCACGGTGCCAATGCTCTGGCCGTACACGATCACGTTCTCTGGCCGGATGCCATACCTGCGAGACAGACACAGGATCTGAATATCACGCTTTCGTTGATCACGATGAGGACATTTAAAATGCAAGTGGTGAGGCATAGTCGGGTAAATTTTGTGTGCTCTACCAGACACTGGCAGGGGTCCAGTTGGGCCTTTTGTTAATTATGAAAAGCAGCTTGGCTGGCAAAACAGTGGATTCCAAAATACAACATTTGCTTTTTCTGGTTAAAGTTGATTTTCTGTAAGTGCTTTTTATAGTAAAGGGGACACTTTGTGTAATCACAATTTTCTAGGTATGGGTCTGCTTTTTTACCCATCACATAATAAGTACACTTACACATCCAATTAGTCTCCCATCATCCTCTCATTTCCCCCACATGCTGCTCCATAAGCAAACACACACCTGTGAGAGACTCACTCATGCTCTATTATTGGCTGAAACGTCACGGCACAGTGACTCAGTGATTATACGGTCTCCTAAAACAAGCACACAAAGATGGGAAGCGGCCAAGGTTCGGTGGCTTTCTGCTGCTTTTCAAAGCCGCTGAACAGAGAGGACCACCACTGTAGTCCCGTGATTCAGAAGGGAGGGGGGGGAATAAGAGCAAAACAAGCAGAAAGAGAGCAAAAACAGACACTGGTACTGGATTGAGGCTGAGGGAGCAACTGGGAAAGGGAGGAGAAAAGAAAAAAAAAAAATAATACACAGAAGAGAAGACATTCCACAGCTGATTATGAAGAACGTGACCCACTCTAGCAAGCAGGCAGTCAGCTGACAACCTGAAACCTAGTCTGAGAACACTGCATCACTGTCTCCACTGCTGCACTGCTGGATAGTGCATAGTAAACAGCCTGACAAAATCTCTGATCTACTCTATTAGGAAAATTAGGAGTACTAACATTACAGGCTTAACAATACAGCGTCTACCACTGCACTGCTGTAAGACACAGTGATGAAAACTATATGAACACCAAAGTCTGACACCACTCACAATGCTTTAATGGATTATTATAATCAGGAACTCCACAGAAGCAGGTCTAACACAAGCATTGCAAAGGAACAATCTGCAGTAATGTAGTCCTATGGCT